TGTCGCTTTTATCGCCATTAAGTAGGATTTAATATGAATTCTTACTAGTGTAGACCGGCTGGCCCTCCAACCACTCTCTAGGCATCTTTTCCGGCATTTCATCTCCCGGAGCTCCTCGGTAAATCAGGGAGCTACCTGGGATCGACATCGGGTCAGAGGCCACAAAGGCACAACACAATCCAAAGCCCCAGTGGCTGCCCTATCTCAGGCTTCCACTAGGGCTTCGGTCGAGTTGTGAGCAAGGGATTCAGGAAAAGTCCCAAGCTCCATCAGGAACCTTTCAGGGTCCATCAGGCGCCTGGGGCAGAACCATCTAGTCGGTTCTGCCTCCCTGCGGTGAGGGGTAGCAGTATGGAAGTCAAGCCTGATGACAAGTGTTCCATTACCTTAAAGCGCCTTTGGCATTTAGTCATACTGGCCACATGACCACAGATATGTCTTCAGACAGTGCTAGCTCTTCAGTTTTGAAATGGAGATGAGCACCACCCCCTAGAGTCGGGAACAACTAGCACATATGTGCAAGGGGAACCTTTACCTTTACACGTAAAGAACTTGCAAGCAGAATTTACTCAGTCCTGGTTTATGCCAGCATAGAACTCATGAGCTGCTATTTCAAACTTGGAAGTTGACAATTTCTGATGGAAAATGCTCAGAAAAATCTATATACAGTGCTACATAGGTTCTATGTCTTTAGGTTCTGCAGATCCTGCTGTTAAAGTCTGCCTTTGGGCATTTGGGTGTTAAGGCTGTTTTCCTGAGAAAAACGTCATTTCAGACCCTGAACAGAAAATATTGGCTAGTCTTTTTGTATTTTACCTATTTGTGCACAAATTGATGTACAATTTAACAGTATCAACACAGATTTCTTTACTTCTGATCAAATCTGCTTTCCTGTGAATTAAACCAGTTATTCTTGTTTAGGTACAAAATAGCACTGTCCTTGGCCTCTAATAAAAAGTTACAACTGCTGGAGGAAAACACACACTACAATTCATGACATCAGGCACCTAAAATGTATAGCTAGTACATGGAGTGCTCACAGCAACCTCACCAGAAATGTTCTGCATTTATATCAGGGAAAATAAAAAACAGTACAAGATGTCCCAGGGTAGTAAATGTGAGTGAGATAAACCTCTATCAGGAACTTAACTACTGTCCTTCTTTAGGGTTGTTACTAATAATTATAACATTCCAACCTTCAGTCAGAACTTGATTATAAACAGGAAAAGCATTGGGAGAACAGAGAACCCCAAGTTCTCCAGTATAAGACTGCTCAAGTTAATGGCCATATAAATCACAAGAAAATTAATTTGGCATGGCACACTGCTTCTGACTTTTAACTATGCCCTGTGGAAGTTGAGTACCAGATTTAAGCTCTAAAAAGTCTTAGGTTCTGCCAGCACATACACCTCAGGCATGTGAGGACACAACCAGTTATCCAATTTGGGGGAGTCAGAAAACTACTGGGCGTCTCCCTTCTTTTTCCAGACAGGAGAGTAGATGGCTGAAGTAAAGGTGCTGAGGGATTATGTCGCCATCTTGCACAAGTAATAAGAACATTACTGTTGCAATACAGAAGAGACGGAAAGATGAAGGAAGCCTAAAATAACATCATCGGTACATGCTGCTCTCTGCCCTATCGAAAGAACATCAGCCTAAAAACCTTGGGTGAACTCACATTCATTGTATAATAGGCTGGATGGCAACAGTTTGATCATATTTTTTATTTATTTTTAAAAAAAGATTTGTAAGGTCACCCATTTAAAACACAACTCCAGATGCTCAGAAGAATAAAACCCAGAACAATAAAAACCATAAACCCAAATCCCAGCACCTCAAATATTCCTCCAAAATACCCTCCCTCCCAAACGAACTCCAGATGTACTCATTCTATGCTAGAACCTGCATAAAAATCCAGGTCCTGATGACCTTCCAAAAGCCTAGAAGGTGGGGGCTTTCTGGATCACCAGAGGGGAGGGTCTTAGGTATAGAAAGTCATGGAAAAACAGCCATGCAATATCACCCAAAGATTCCATTTATTACTGAGGATTTGTAGTGCTCAAGTGAATAGCCAAAAATGAGACTTAAAATATAATACATACCGTGGTATCTACAGCAGAGGTCTTCCCGACAGGGATATGATTTGGGGTTGGTTCCTCTTTGGAAAGTACCACGCAGCCCTCTGGTCCCAAAGTTACGACGACAGTCCTACAGCCTCTCTCTAACAATTTAAGTCCCGCTTGTCCAGCATCTCCAGCATTACCAACTGCAATTCCTGTTAGAATTTCTGCCTTGAAGGGAGAACATTAAAGTCAAATATTTAAGCAAGCAAACAAAATGTAGCTCAATAGCAACACCATCTACAAAAACCATATTGAAATGATAAAGATGTTCAACAATCATTTCTACCAAGTAAATATATCAATATATACATTTAGTATCAAATAGAGAGAGAGCAGGCATGCCTAATTGCAATGAAAAAAAATAAAAATATCGGATTTTTGTTTTTTCTGGATTAAGGGCTACTGGACTTGCTAACCAATGTATTTAGAAATGGATATGGATTGCCTAATTGGTTCCAAAGGGCAAATTCCCAAATAATTCCTTCGGTCCTCCTTGGATTAGTACTGATAATAAATAATTATTACTTTCATGACACTGACTGACTCAGGTTCATGGTAAGAATCAATTTAGCTAAGTTTCTTAATGTTAATATGAACACATACATTTGGCAAAGTTTTGACAGAGTGAAGCTTTCCATTTAGTGAATGAAAGCACATTTGTGATATGCTAACAGGTTATATTTTTAGATGTAGATAATACAATGGCATTATTATGAAGCTGTTAAACATCTATAATTGGGATTCTCAAAGAGTTCTATTACAAGACTCTCAATCAAGAGAGATAAGAGTTTTACCTCTGCTTTGCCTAATGGGCTGCTTTGAACAGCAGCTTCTGGGAAAATCATCCTTGGAGTTTTCTCTTGTCTCGTGTGTCCCACATGGAAACACATGGGACACCCTTCCTACCAATTTTCTTGGAGGCAGTTCTACAAAGCAGTACTCTAAAATCATGGAAAACAGTATGTTGCTTCTGACGTAAAGCATGAACCTTGGGAATGGTTCATGAATGCAAATTAGTTAATAATACAAATTAAGTGTGCTGTTATTCCAATTCCAGGGGAAGGTGTATGGGGGAATAGCATGACTTATTACCCATTTGATTCTATACAGATAGTCATCACTTGGTGACTATTCATTCAGTTCAAATTTACAATGGTGCTAAAAAAGACTTGCAACTAGTCCTCGAAATTCCATTCATTATGCCACCTTTGTAGTCATGCGAACATTGGAAGCTGGCTCACACGATAGTTGCAGCATCCCATAGTCATGTGATCATGATTTGGATGCTTATCTTTAGGCTTCCCTTAAATAAAATCAATGGGGAAGCCAGCAGAGAATATCACAAGTTGTTTTAGTACAGTGTTTCTCAACCTTGGCGACTTTAAGTCCTGTGGACTTCAACTCCCAGAATCCCCCAGCCAGCATAGCCAAAGTCGCCAAGGTTGAGAAACACTGTTTTAGTAAATTGCTTGCACTCTCTCCCACCTGGCAGCAGCCAACTCTGGCCCAGCCATGCTTACACAGGCTGTTTGTGGACCCTCCTTTGTCTGGCTTCTACAACTCCCAGTCCTCGCCATACTCCGTGCTTTACATGTCTATCAAACTGCTTACAAAGGTTTCTGGGACTTGCTTAATGACCCAGAATTCTCGCTTAAAGAAGGCAATGGGGAGTGTTGGGATTGCTATCACTAAACAATGCAGTAACGTGATATTGTACTTTATGACTGTATTGCTTAGCAATGGAAATTTTGGTCCCAATTGCCATAGGACTATCTGTACCTGGGGGTGGGCGAGAATGTGTGTTCAATGGGGAAGTTTTGAATGTGTAGAGATAGCAAGAAATGCTTCTATACCGAATTATCTGACCAAAGGTATTGATTTGAAGGGGCCTAACAATTCTTTGGAAATTTGATCTGTTGAGCCATTTGTGCTTTCAATGTCTGTTTTTTAAATTCAATGCAAGTTAGTACAGGTAATCCTTGACTCAATAGTTTATTTAGTGACCGAAGTTACAAAGGCATGCAAAAAGTGACTTATGACTGTTTTGCACACTTACAGCTGTTGCAGCATCCCCATGGTCATGTGATCAAAATTCAGATGCTCGGCAATTGACTCATATTTATAATGGTTGCGGTATCCTGGGGTCAGGATGTAACTTTCTGACAAGTTAAGTCAATGGGGAAGCCAAATTTACTTACGTCTCAGTTAGGAAGAGAAATTTGGGGCTCAATTGTGGTTGCAAGTTGAGGATTACCTGTATTCCCTCATCTAAAAAAAAAAAACCAAAATTCTGTAGCACTGATCCTGGAAATTTTCCAGATTAAAAAACAACAACAAGCAGAACACATATAATTAATATCACAACAAACACAGGGAAGAAAGTGAGATACATAACAGATACCAAAACTATGCTTGCTTCAAGAAAGATAAGGAATAAATGCCCCGGAACTCATGCAAATGCAACGCCTCTCCTCCATAAGCTAAATTAGACTAATTCATAAGGATCCTGAAAAGACTGACTAGTGAATCAATTAATTAAAGCCCCTGGGTTTTTTTTTTCTGTCTTCTGAAAAAACCTGGGGGGAAAAAGGCTGCTTTAATAAGTAAGACATAGAACTTGGATTGCACAAAGTTCTGAACCATCTTCTAAACTATCTGTAAAATATGCAATGCCCTCTGTTAATGTTTCTTTAAGCACAGAGAGTACCCAAAGTGCTTGATCAATGTTTGTTTGTCTCTCCTTACATGTTGTCACATACATCTGTGGTTATGGAGTTATCAAAATATCACTTATTTTAGGAATTTTTGCTGTATTTGCATTCTACAGAGAAATGCCTCCAGCTACATGCAGCAACTGAAAGAACGGGGGTAAATCAGGACACCATGGAGACACTTTCCTGCAAGGGTAGCAGATACCAGACAGTTGATGCATGCCAAAAGTTAAAATGTATAACTATGTCTCAATTGTGAAACTCAATATAAAACTTCTGGTTGTGTTGGAAAGTTCCCCCCTTTAATTTTTAATTAACAAAAATGTACAATTGAAGGAAACAACTAACGGCTGCTTTTAAAAAGACAAATAAAACACAATAGCAGGAGGCCTAGCAGGAATTTTAAAAAATAGTTTAACTCCCCATACAACATTTAAAGGGAAATGAACAAATGTTTAAAGAAATAAGCTAATCTATGTAAGATTCCAAATAACATTTCTGGCAATGCAATGCTCTCACTGCAAACCAAGCACTTAAACTGAAAATGCAGACATTGGCTTAAACCTGGAGCAAGCTATACTGAAATTAATTATTTGTTTACCCATACTTCCATGTAAATATTTGATTGCTAAATCTTCAAAATAATAATTAAGCATGTATCTTCTTTAAAGAGGACATTGCCGTTACAAGTAAAGATTAGGCAAAACCTGGGGCAAAAACAATAACCGTGAGAAGGACCTTGGACTGCCAGTAGATGATCACTTAAACATGAGCCAGGAGTGTGCAGCAGCAGCCAAAAAAGCTAATACAATACTTGGTTGTATAAACATAGAATCATAATCATGTGAAATATTAGTACTGCTTTATAAAGCCTTAATAAGGCCACACCTGGAATACAGCATCCAGTTTTGGTCACCATATTACAAAAAAAGATGCTGAGACTATGGAAAAAGTGCAAAGATTCCAAGTATTTGAGAGGCTGCCACAAAGAGGAGGGGGGTCAACTTATTTTCCAAAGCACCAGAAGGGAAGATAGCAATAGCAATAGCAGTGGACTTATATACCGCTTCATAGGGCTTTCAGCCCTCTCTAAGCGGTTTACAGAGAGTCAGCATATTGCCCCCAACAATCTGGGTCCTCATTT